ATGTGTCTTTATATTTAATATGAACAAATTTTGATCAGAGATGAGCTAAACTCAGAATCTGTGATGCAAACACCATAGAAAGAAAATTAATTTTTACCCATCACCCAGCTAATGCAGTTGCACTATAAAAAAACCCTAACAGCATATTCTTACTGAGCACTCATTTATATGCAGTTACATAGAATCATAGAATAGTTTAGGTTGGAAGGGACCTTAAAGATCATGTAGTTCCAACCCTCTGCCAGGCGCAGGGATGCCATTTACTAGATCAGGTTGCTCAAGGCCCCATCGTTCCTGGCCTTGAACAATTCCAGGGATGGGGCATCCACAGCCTTTCTGGGCAACCTGTTCCAGTGTCTCACCACCCTCTGAGTAAAGAATTTATTCCTGACATTTATTCTAAACCTGCCCTCTTTCAGTTGAAAACCATGGCTGCCTGTCCTGTCACTATCTACCCATATAAAAAATCTCTCTTCCTCATTTTCCAGGCAAGGCTGGCTGCTGGCTTCCAACTGTGCAGCTCTTCAGAAAGGTGTGGGAACACCAACACTCATTCTACACAGTATTTCCCTGTGTTAGGAAAGGTGATTTGGAGAGGGAAGACTCCATGTGCCTCTAGTATGAAAGTCAATAAAATATTCTGAAAGATGCACTGTTTGCCTTGTAGCATCAAATGCTGTGTGGTCTTGAGAAACAGGGCTGTGCTGCTGCTCAGAAAATGAGGTTAAAAAAAAATGAGCAGTAGCCTTCAGTGTGGCCACTGTGTGTTCTAGCATTTCATTTACAGTCTGCCTTCACCAGAGGATTAATTTGGTGCTAATCTGAACCTTCCCTATTCAAAAGCTCCACATCAGCAGTGTCCTGGAAAGAACAGTGTCTCTCAGGACCTTCCCATAATCAAACTACAGAAGCACAGTGTGCTACTAGGGCAGGATCTAAACTAGCTGGAAAAGTGTTTAGTGTGTAGTTATCAAGGATTCATTCTTCACAGTGAAAGGATACATCAAGTGGGGTTTTGCAAAGGTCAGTCCTAGATCCTGTTCTAATGAAAATATTTTCATTTTCCTGAACACAGAGTACCTGGATGATGACCAGGATGCTGGAATATAGATAATGTTTATTACATTTGCAGATGACACCATAGTAGGACGGACTGCAATAAAGTAAGAGGGAGAGAGTTCACTGTGATCCTGAGAGGTTGGAGATACAGGCAAGTCCAAGATACCAAAATACCAAAATCAGCTGGGAAAATTCCACTAGGCAAATACAAGGTGAAAATCAGCTTTCCACAAAGCAATCCTGCAGATCACAAGGACATCAACCAGTGATGTTAAGTGGCTGATGGAACTCAGATCAGAACCCCATCCTTTTGCTCAAGGGTAGGAAGATCTCAGAGTACTGTGCCTATTCTGGAACTCTTGGCTGCAAGTGAAATCTCCAGGAGACATTCCAGAGGACAGGAAAAGAACTATCGCTGATTTTAGACAGAACTGATACTGCCACCATAAACAGCAGAAGAGTGAGAAGGAATCTGGGAGACATGAAAACAGTCTTCAAAAATATAGAGGTTGCTAGACAGCAGGAAGAAATAATCTGTTTTCTGTGCTCATTTGGACACATGACAAGTAATGGGCTAAGAGAAATTACATCAGGAAAATTTTGGTTAGTCACTAGGAAAATGCTTCTAATGGAAAGGAAAGCATGAAACTGCATTGCCAGAAGAGCCTCCCCTGACTGAATATCTGTCAGGAGTGGACAGTGTCCATCCTGCTTGGTGACTAATCAGCTCCTAAAAGGAGTTCACAGCTGCATGACTCAGGAGTGAACCAGTTACCTCTCCAAGGGAACAAGAAGATGCTGACAAAGTCCAACTGTGTTAGCACCTTTAAACTGGCTATTAGTCATAGACACAGTACTATTACAAATCATTCTTGGTTTCCCAGTTGCTTTCCGCATCTCTCCAGAGCCTTCCAAACTTAATCCAGTCTAATTCAGTCACAGTTGTTTGCTCAGTCATCAAATCCTCTTACCTGGATGTGACAACTCAGTTTTGATCACCTCTGTTTTCCAGGCTGTCAGTGCTAAGGTCCATAGTAAGTCACCGAGGCATCATGTTACCAGTAGACCAGGAATTTTAGTCAAAACCCTTTTCAACCTCGTGTCTTATAAAGTGGAGCGTGATTTGGATGGAAGTTTCCACACTGAGACATTTCTAAAACCATCATCTAAATGCTGCAGAGTGACAAAGCCTGAAATAGCCAAGGATTCAGCAAGTGACCAGCAGTGACCTGATTCTGGCAGCCAGAGGTGTTGTTCTAGCAGAGGATGTTCCTTGACACTCAACCCAAATAAATGCATCATCCTGGCAAAGCAAGAAGAAAAAGAACAGAAGCAGACAAGGTGGCCTTTCTCTGCAGACACTATAACAGACAGAGGAGAACTCCA